ATGTTTTCAGGTTCGATTCGTCAAAAGATAGGGGAGAGTTCAAGACTCCAATCGGCATCGGCAAGGTCATCAGAGGTATGGAGAGACACCTGTAGACGCTGGCCGGGCTACCTCTAGTCCAGCACAGCAAACTCTCGCGATGTCCAGGTCCTAACCTCAGCCTTCTACTGCATAGGATGGGATGAAGGCGTGATGAACATGACAGTTGGCGAGAAGTGCATATTGACGATAAGCGGGTACGTATAACATGTATACTCTCCCTTTGTGACCACGTATATCAAGGCTAACAAGATGGGCGTATAGGGACTATGCATACGGTGACCGGTATAGCCTTTCATCTCTTTCTCCCTGCCCTTCTCGACTTCTTCTTACGTCTTGACTGCTCCTCCATTTATTTGTTGGCCCTCTCTGGCCGCCCGGCGAGAGATAAGTAAATAATAAAAAGAAAGGGCAGCAAGCGGAAGAAGACAGGACCCCGGGGTGCCCAACGTGACGAGTTACATGTCAGGCTGCGTGGCGTTGATAACAAACAATTCGCTGATGTCTGTGGATTTCTTTTAGTGGCTTCCCCGGACTAATACCACCGAACTCTACTCTTGTGTTGTAAGTTCATATCAAATATTTTCGGTGCCCCCTTTTTTTTTTTTCTCTCAACAGCATCAAGTCGAGAACGACGTCTATTTCCCCAATACGTTTGATCGTCTTTTGACCGACTATCTTCCGTCAATGCCCTGCCCCGGCTCCTTTTCCCCGTGTGCATCGCTTTTCTTACCGTATCGCACCCCCTCTATACCTGCAGGCTGCAGCCCTTGCTGGGCCTCTTCTGCACTTCGCATTGGACGAGAACGGCTATGCAGCAATAATTCCTACCCTTGCCTGTTCATTATTATGATGATTATTTTCAACCTTCTTGTCGTCTTCTCCATCGACATTTTTCATATACCACCCCGTTTCATTTGACGGAGAAATATAGATGGATCTCCCCGAACTAAACCCCCACCCTTCCGTCTTAATTCTTTCATGCATACATATATACTCTGTTCCTCGCCTCTTTTTTTGCAGTTCGTTTTGTTTTTCACTCCCTTGCATGTACAAAATACGCGCCTGTGCCACCCGTTTTCGAAGTGTTACCCTGACCCAACATTAGCTCAATGCCTATGCTTACGATCTTTTGTTACAGTGAAGTCGAACTTAAAGGCATCAGCAGACGAAGCTAGGCCAGTTGGCAGGCAGAGGGAGGATCTCGGAAAGGCAAGACTGCGTCCGCCGCATGGTCATCGCCGGCCAGACCGGATCTTCGACCTAATCCTCGCTTTGAAGCCTGTTACCCGCACTGTGCCTCGTCGTGTCCTCCTGCCCTTCTTCCCTCGCCCCTGGTCGTCTTCTTCCTTGGCCGTCTCATGGATATTTCTTTTCTTTTCTTTTCTTTTTTGTTTCCCGTTCTCTCTCATGCGGCCATGACTAGCCAATGCGTTATTTCTCCCTCGTCTTCCCCCTTTTCTTGCTCTTCCAAGCGAGTGGTTTGACTTTGTTGTTTTCTCTTTTCTCTTTACTATCGAGTTACCGCGTACTTTGATTCTCCCTTGTTGTTTGCCGTCTCCGACTCGGAAGAAAAAGCCATGTGTTTGACGAATTATCCTGTTCTTAATTGACGAATTAATGACCTCTTTTACTTTACCCGGAGCATTTCTACAACACACATGGAATGGGATATGCCTTGACCGCCCGATTCGGGCATATCTGCGAGTGGAGGTGGGTATTCTATCGGACAGTTGGTTGGCAATATACATCGATGAGTAGGGTTCCAACACATGTACACAGGCGGGCTATTCATAGAAAGGGTCAATCAAATCAAATGCAAGTCGGCCATAACCCGACTGATCTCCGGCATCTCCTCTGCAACCGCATAACAGGACGCAACATGTTCCCAAAACCGGTCTCTGGACCAGACGCACGACGCCCGGCGGTACAAGGCTCACATCTCGAAACCCTGCGCACACGGGCATGATGATCGATGCGCTCACTACAAGCTGCCCTGCTATACAGCTCACATCGAAACAGCACGTGGTGGATCCGTCTGATCTACCGATGCTGTCGTCGTCGTTCCATCAGACACCGACAGCGACGAAGCCACACAGCCTCTAGACGTAATGCACAGGTCATCAAGCATCGTCGAGTAATAATCCGACAACTCCTCCCACCATCCGGTAGAGGATAGCATGAAGGGGGTGAAGGGCTGTAACGGCGCATCACGCAGGAATTGCATCAGATATCCCTCCATCAGCGACGAGGCGTGCATTCCACCCTCAGCCTGGAGACGGTAGACTTCCTCCATCGATCCGTGGATAGATGTAGCGAGCCATCTTGCGCTTTGGACGGATGTGCATGCCTCCTTGCCACGAACTTGTAGTATCGGAATCTGGAGGAGGCTGGCGCTGGACGTAGAGTAGTCAAGGTCTAGCTTGAAGCACCGCCTTGCGAAGGGGAGGGGTATTATCCATAGCGCGGGGTTGATGCGCAGACAGCTGAAGCAGACGCGCTGACAGTCTAGCAGGAAGAAGTAGATTCCCGGTGCTGCATGGCAGGATGCGCATGTCCGGCTGCGCAGGGCAGCGTAGATGTCGATGCAGGCGTGGTACGGGAGCAGGTTGGTCTGGCTGAGCGCTTTCAGGGTCGAGGAGGCGTGGGCGAGCAGGAAGGCGAACGCTGGGAACGAGGTGATGGCTTCTCTGGCGCGGATGGAGGTGCGGGAGAGGCGTAGGAGCGAGAGAAGGTCGGCCTTTTCGCAGATGAGATGGAGGATCTCGAGAGGGAGGGACTCGAGGGACGAAGCAGATGCAGCTCTGTGTTTGATGTCTAGCCGGCGAGGAAGAAGAGACGGGACGACGGCCTCCTGCTCGACGAGATGTCCGTACGAGAGATGAGAGAGAAGACTCTCTCTGGTCCAGCCGGCCATTCTTGTTTTGTTTCGTATCTGAAGATGGATACAAGTTATACGACTTTATATGCCTGATCCCGGCCTCGACTCAGCCTCATCTACCCATCTGGATGTTTACTCCAAGGCTCAGAGGTAAGGAAATACGTGAGTGCATGTTTTGTGCCTGTACATACATAGCCATAAATAGGTACAAAAAAAGGGGGGGAAAGAGAAAGTAAAAGAATAAAAGGGGGTGCCAGTGTAGACGGCAAGAAGGTATCCAGAAGTGATAGAAAAAAAAAAGTAGTAAGATGGCTAAGTTAATATTTATATAATAAAGAGACTAAAGGGGGAGGGATAGAAGGTAAGTAAACGGCAGATTTGAGAGATGAGAAACATACGAAACGGAGCAGGGAAAAGGGGGGGGAGGAAGGGAAGTACCGAGCTGGTTTGCAGTGCTGTCTGCGTCTTTTTTTTGGGTCAGTGAATGTGTTGATACATAGAAAACAAGGACGGTTTTGGCTAACCAGAGGTAGTTGTAGGGAGATATGGGACGGGGATGGATGAGATGGGTAGGGAGATGCCGCATGTTCCAGCTGTCTATGAAGAAAAGAAAATACGTCAACACATAAAACAAGTGTGTGTGTGTGTGTGTGGATGGATTAAGAGGAATCCCATGCATAGATGGCTTCCTGTGGCCCCTCGGGGGAAAGGAAGAAGAGACGGGTCTAGTTCCAGCCGAGAGAGTTCTCAGTCATGACAGGGGCACTGATCTGTGCTGTGCGGCCGCTGCCGGCTCTCGAGTATCGTTCGTTCATGCTCGAGGCGCCAAACGGACTGCCGGCACGGTGGTCGTCGTGGTATGGAGCCGGGGTGCCCACGCCGCTGGTGAGAGAGTCAGATCGGCGATGGAGGTTGCGCTTCTTTCTGTATCTGCGAGCAACGAAGAACATGGCTGCTCCGTACAGGGCGGCACCGCCAACGACGCCGAGGCCGATGCCGACCGAGCTGGGTCTGATGCCCGACGATCCGGCCGAGCCACCTGGACCTTTGCCCTTGTTCTCTCCGTCGGATCCAGAGCCATCGTCGCCGCCACCGCCTGAACCAGGGGCGCCGGACGGGTAGCCTGGGCCGCCGGGGTTGGGGATAGTTCCGCCGCCTGGAAGCAAGGGGATGGTGGGATCGAGCATGGCCAGGATGGTGTGGACAGAGGTGTCTGGGTTAGAGTACAGTCTGGAGGTGAAGGTGGTCAGGCTGGAAGAGAGCAGCGCGAGGAGGTCCTTGGGGATGTAGATGAGCACGACGGCGGTGGTGTAGCCCTTTTTGGTACCGGGGTCGTATGGGCTGATGCCGGCGATGGGAGTGGAAGACATATCCACCTCGATGCCGTAGGCCACGCCTGGGGGCACAAACTTGAGGACTTGGGCGACAGCGTCGGTGTTTACGGCGAGGAACTCGTAGGAAAGCGAGGCGTTGAAGCCAAGCTGGATGAGGATGGAATTTGGCGGCGGCGCCTGAGCGTTGGGGGGAGAGATCATATGCGGAAGCGGCTTGGGGGACTGGGTTGCGGTGGTCGATGTAGTGGTGGTGGAGGTCTGGACGATGATGGAGGTGGGCACGGAGAGAGTGGTCTCGGTGTTGGTGGAGAGGGGGACGCTGGTGCTGGGCGTGGTGGGCGTTGGTGCTGGCGTTGGGGTGGTGGTGACGGTCGTCATGGTAGAAGGCCTGGTGCTGCTGCTCCCCGAGACGGTCTCGGAGGTCTCTGAGGCTGTATTGGACGAGGTAGCCGACCCGGTGGATTGGGGAGACGTGTAGGTGCTGGGCGTGGTGCCTGTACTGGTGGGAGTGACGGCGGTACCGCTGATGACGGTCGAGGAAGGGAAGACGCCGGACGTGCTCGACGTGGGCGCGGTGCCGGTGGAAGACGCTGTGCCAGTTGGGATGGAGAGAGACGGGAAGGTCACCGAGGTTGGCATTGAGGTGTCTGTTCCGGTAGAGGTGCCGGTCTCGGTGCCGGAAGTTCCAGTCATAGTGCCCGTGGCAGTTCCAGAGGTCTCGGTTCCGGTGGGAGTGGCGGTTCCGCTGCCAGGGCCGGTGATGGTGGCAGGATTTCCGGAGGTCGAGTAGGTAGGGAAGTCGGTGGTGTTTGAGCCGCCAGTCGGGAGAGTGATTGGGAGGGAGATGGAGATTGGGAGGGAGGCAGAGTCAGTGGGGGATGTCGAGCCGGTTGGAACGGACGCAGAGCCGGAAGTGGTGCCAGTTGGTACGGAGGCAGAAGTTGAGCCAGACGAGCCAGACGAGCCGGAGGTGGTACCAGACGAGATTGGGATCAGGGTTGGCAGCAGAGTAGGGATGATACCGGTGCCGCTGGAGGAATCTGTGGGAGCAGGACTGGTGCCGGTGCCGCCTCCAGGGTACGTGATGCCCTCGGATGGGGAGGTAGTAGGGATGCTAGGCAATACGGGCGACCCTGTAGTAGACTCACCAGGCGTGGTAGGCTGGGTTCCTGGCTGGGTGGCAGACCCGGACTGACTGGTAGGTTGAGTTCCGGGTTGAGTTCCGGGTTGAGTTCCGGGTTGAGTTCCAGGTTGAGTTCCGGGCTGGGTAGGCTCACTGGTAGGTTGAGTATGCTCAGGGGCAGAGCTTGACTGCGGAGGCAACAAGGTGGGCAGCTGGATCAAGGTGCTGGAGTCTCCAGTGGCCGGGCCGGTGTGGCTGACGCCTTCAGAGGGAGACATGCTGGGCATCGAGGGCATGGTAGGCGCCGTTGGAGGCGTATACACGGTCGTTGGCTCCGCTGGAGGCACCGTAGGGGTCTCAGGGGCCGTCTCAGCGGGCTTGGAGGAGCCCGGCAGGATGGGCGACAGTATAGAACTAAGCGGAGGGACCGGTCCATTGCTGGGCTCATTGCTTCCGCTGCTTGGAGGGACTGAAGTGGCCGAAGTGGCCGAAGTGACTGGCGTGCCTGGAGTTCCTGGAGTTCCTGGAGTGCTTGGCTGTGTACCTGGCTGTGTGCCTGGTTCAGTGACTTTTGGTTCAGTGGCCGTTGGAGCGGTTGGAGAGGTTGGCTCAGGGACCGTTGGAGTAGGGACCGTTGGCTCACTGGGCTCACTTGGTGCAGTTGGTGCAGTCGGTCCGGTTGGTTCAGGTCCCGTTGGCCCAGTCGGTTCGGTGGCCGTCGGTTCAGTGGCCGTTGGAGCACTCTGACTGGCGCTCTGGCTGGCACTCTGGCTGGTGATGGAGGTAGAAGTGGTGACATCCCCCGTCGGCTGCATGACGGCGTCGTAGGCGTACGACGGCTCTCCGCTCAGGGTGACGAGGCTTCCGTCCGCCTTCATCTGGACCGTCACCGGCACGACGACGACCTCGCGCCTGTCCATGTCCTGCTGGTGTCGCTCTCTCCCTCCGGCCCATGGGGTGCGGTCGAGGTCTCTCCTGACCAGGCGAGGGAAGTGGAACTGCGGCCTGTTGGCGGCGGGCAGGTCGCCCAGCGCCTCCACGGCCACGGCCGCCAGGAGGGCGAGACACAGGCGCATCCTCTTCGTGTCTTCCTACTAACTGTCTCTCTCTTGGTTCTCTTAACTGTCTCTCTCTTGGCTCTCTTAACTGTCCGTCTCTCGTGTGGTTCTCTTTTGGCTGTCCTGTTAACTGTCCTGTCGTATAGGCTGTTCCCCGTATGACTTCTCGGTAAAGAGCGTGGTGACGACGTCCGTAAAGAGTGAAGACTCGCTGTCCGCTAGATCATGAAGACGACTTGACGGTGTCAGTATCAATATAACGATGGTAATATGATGGTGGGAGGCCAGGCTGAGCAGGCTGAGTCGACCCCTGACGAGCAAAACGACGAGAAGTAGCGAAGAGACGAAAACAACGACGACGAGAACAGAAAAGAGACGAAGACGAGAAGCAGCAGAAGAGTAAAAGGGATAAGACAGCAGCCTCCTTGTCCTCGTCCTTGTAGCAGAAGATGCAGGAGATGCGCGCTTACTTTGCGACCGTCCCGTCTTTGTCAGTGACTTGACAGCGAGCAGGAAAAAAGAGCGTGGGCGTCCGCAGACAAACGAGGGTAGAGAGAAGTCGATAGAGGACGAAGACGAGAAGACGAGAAGACGAAGAGTGACAGCGAGCAGAAGTAGACGGAGAAGAGAAGAAGATCGAGTGTTAGGCTGTCAGAAAGACTTCTTAGTGCGACCGCGCCGGCGCTTGACAGAGCAAAGCCAAGTTTGGGTCCGAAGAAGCAAAAAAAAAGACAAAGAGTAAGAAACAAAAGAAGAGGAAGAAGAAGAAAAAGAGAGAGAGAGGGGACGGGATATCCTTGACCCTGTTCAAAGAGAAAAGTCTTCCCTTATTACTATTATTATTATTACTTGTTATGTTGGCTGTTGGTGTTAAATACGAAGAAGACGGAGAAAAAAGAGTGAGACCCCTGGAAGAAGAAAAGGCTTCGACCCCTGCGCTACTATTTTAGTGGCCCCCGCAGGCGTGGCAGTTATCTCGGTTGGAATGGGTAGAGTAGGAGGAGGTAGAGATGGTAGATGGTAGATGAAGATGGTAGATGGTAGATGAAGATGGTAGATGGTAGATGGTAGATGGTAGATGGTAGATGAAGATGGTAGATGGTAGATGGTAGATGAAGATGGTAGAGAGAAGATGGTGGTAGATGAAGACGGTGGTAGAGATGCGAGCCCCTGATGTACGATGAGGATGCACTCGGCAGTGCAAGCACATGCATAGTGCATACACGGTGGGACTGCTACGGGCTGGCGAGGTGGTTGTACCAGAAGCGGAGGCCCTCGATCCCCTGCTCGCGACACAGCAGGCCTCGCTCCTCTGCCATCTCCAGCTCCTCGCCAGCCACCCCGACGCTCCAGCCAAAGCGTCGACCGGTCTCCTGCGCCGTCACCCCCCGTCCATGCAGTCGCCAGTCCCAGGTCACCTCCGCAGACGTCGAGGTCGACGTCGGGGCAGGAGGCAGCCGGTGCATCTCGTCGAACCACTCCCGTAGCTGGCGCAGGGTCTGCTCGTCCGTCCAGTCGGCACGCTGCACGACCAGCAGCCCGCTCTTGAAACGGCGCAGGCGGACGGGCAGGCGGAGGCGCTCCCACTGCTCGGCCGCGGCGTGGAAGTCTCGGGGGCTGACCAGCTCGACCCCGTTGCGAGCCCGGTTGAAGGCCGCCCACAGGTCGATCAGGCTCATGATGCCCCCCGCCTGCGCCAGTATCGTCTGTCTCTCGTCCGTCAGGTACTCCGCCAGGTTGCGGGACAGCTCCGTCACGTACAGGCTGGCCGACGTCGACGACGACGACGACGAGCCCATCACCTCCTTGGTCGTCATCATCCCCAGCGCTGCTGCAGACTGTGAGACCTCCTCCGTCACACTCGACTCGCGCGAAAAGGTCTCGGCCAGCGCCACAACCTCCCGTGCAGACGCCATCAGGGCCTCCAGGTCCTCAAACGCTCCCCCGATCACCGCCTCGTTGTTCCTGCGTGTCTCCAGTCCCCGGCGTTCCAGGCCCGCTATTCCACCGGTAGTACCGGCAGTACCAGCAGTACCAGCAGTACCGGTGTTGCCGGTAGCAGTAGCAGCATCAGCAGTAGTTGGCACTGGAGGAGCGTCCTGTAGGATCCACTTCCGCTGTACCAGTGCCCCCTTCAGTCGCTCGTGGAACACCCTCTCCCCGCCCGCCCGAAAGGACAGCTTGACGCAGTCGTTGATCTCCCTGCTCTCCAGCCTGGAGGTCGACGGTGCAAAGGGTGCGGGGGAGTCTGTCCGCCCCGGAGACAGCGTTGCACCGCACATCTCACACGCCTGTAGCGACGGATGGTTGACAAACGTACACCTCGGACAGATGTTGCCTGTCGGCGTAGGTGTCGACGTGGGCGTAGAGGCCGAGCTGCTGGTCGACGCTGAGATGGCCGCCTTGAGCAGGGTGGTCAGCGGCGGTTTGATGCCACAGGCCAGACACGGAGGGATGGCCGTCGACGCAGCCACGGCCGGGTCAAAGTTGGACGGCACCGGGTTGGAGAACGAGCAGATGGGACACACCCAGGTCGCCGTCCGCGCCTCGCTCTTTACGATGCTGGCCGGCGCACTCGTCTGCGTTCCCCGTCTCCGGGGCAGGATACTGATCTTTGGCGACGACCTCAGAAATCTCGCCTATTTTCTTAGCCATGCTCCTCTCTCTCTCTCTCTATATATAGGTATATAGGAGGTATTACCTGAAACTCGATGCGGTCTACATCTTTCAAGTCGAGGGCCACCGACCACTTCCGGGGCTCTTCCAGGTCGACATAGCAGATCCGGTGGGACGTCAGGTAGGCATGGCCACACTGGTAGTTTGGAATCTTGTACTTTCTACCCAGGTTAGTCTCGTAGCCGGCCGGTCATGTAGATAGAATGTAGGCATGGCATACCCCTCGTAGAGCCCGACGGCGTCCTGGACGAAGAGCAGCGTCTCATCTGGCAGCAGCGACGGCCGGAGTGCGGTGGTCAGGTCAACGGCTTGGAAGAACATCGAGCACCATCTTCTCTATCTATTTAATATAGTAGAAGCAGCAGAAGCAGAAGAAAAAGCCGGCGTTGGTGTTTTTGGCACTTTTTTATATATACAAAAAGATGAAGTCATGGAAAAAGGACGCTAGGCCCAAAACGGAAGCGAAACCACATTCGCTCTTTTTCTTCTTCTTCGACTTCGACTTCGACTTCGACTTCTTCATCTCATCAACTCCATATTATAGTAGACACGATGAACACGGCAGCCTCATGGCGAGCGTCCGCTAGTGGTGAGTGGGACGGGTTCGCTGGTTTGTGGCTTCTGCTGATTCCTGTGATAGCAACGACGACTACAACTGCAACAACAGCATACACTCCGGTCCAGGCGCGTCGGACTCTGGCTCGAAACTCATCTTCTCAAGCAGCTCCGTCGTCTACTACGGCTGGCACTGCTGCTGCCGCTGCCGGGACTCCGACAGAGATGCGGAAACGGGTAGAGTGGCCGCCTGCGGTGCGAGACTACGTCCAGCGAAGCTTCGTCCCCGAACAGCAGATACCCGGCATCACTCGAGCGGACATGGAGGCCAAACTGAAGCAGGTCATCACCGGAGCCGCCGAAACTAACCACCTGGGAGCCATCGACTGGGCCAGCCTCCCCTTGCCCCAGCAGATGATCCAGAACGAACGCAACACCGCTCTCCTCTCCATCAGCAAGACCTCACCCAAGAGAAAGTCCACCGACATCAGCACAGAGTATGCTACAACGGCGGCAACAAACCGAACATATGAAGAAACCCCACCATGGAGATCGAACGGAGCGAATGGATCAGAGGACAAAAGAAGACGACTGGAGAACGATAGCAAGATATCAAGCAGTAAGTTTAACCATAATCTGGAGAGCAGGAAACGACGGTTTGAGAGCACGTCTTCCCCCACCAAGGTCAAGTCCCCCTCAGCGTACAACGTCACCCCCCATCACGACCCGTCAGAAGGGCCGATAGTCGGCCGCAGCACGGCGCTGGAGAAGCGGTACCTGCGACTGACGGCAGCACCCAACCCGGACAACGTGCGGCCGCTGCCGGTGCTGCGTAAGAGCCTGGACTTGCTGAAGAAGCGGTGGAAGCAGGAGAACAACTACGGCTACATCTGCGACCAGTTCAAGTCGATGCGGCAGGACCTGACCGTGCAGCACATCAAGAACGACTTTACGGTGCTGGTGTACGAGATCCACGCACGCATCGCACTCGAGAAGGGGGACCTCGGTGAGTATAACCAGTGCCAGACGCAGCTGCAGGGCCTCTACGCGCTCAACCTGGGCGGCCATCCGATGGAGTTTAAAGCGTATCGTATTCTCTATTTCATCTACACCCGCAACCAGACAGCCATCAACAGCGCCCTGTCAGATCTAACCCCCGCAGAAAAAGCTGACCCGGCCGTCAGCCACGCACTGGCGGTGCGCTCTGCCCTCGCCCTCGGAAACTACCATCGCTTCTTCCAGCTCTACCTCGACACCCCGAACATGGGCGCCTATCTCATGGACATGTTCGTCGACCGCGAGCGTCTCTCCGCCCTCGCCTGCATCTGTAAAGCGTGCGTCCTTCTCTCTTCCATCTTATCTCCCGTTTTTTTTTTTAATATACTAACAAAAACAGATATAAACCTGAGGTGAATATAAGATTTATTACGGAGGAGCTGGGCTTCGAGTCGGACGAGCAGAGCGCACGCTTCGTGCTGGACCATGTCCCCGAGCATCTGCTGCAGGAAAAGGCAGACGGCGTGAAGCTACTGACGGGCAAGTGTGGTGCCGCCTTTGAGCAGGCCAAGCTCGCTGCCCACAGAGTCATCGACATCAAGGGGCAGATATAGCCCAACTCTCCATCTCTACCTCCATCTTTTCTCCATCTACCATCTTCTTCTCCTTCTCCTCCTTCTACCACCGCATCACCCAGTCGACAACCTTGCTACATCTCTTCCCTTTTCATCCCTTTCATCAACTTGACCTTCTCTGCATCGACCTTTTTTTGCTTCTACTTCTTGGAATAGGCGGGCGTTGGGCGGACCGAGTATCGTCATGAAACAGAAGAAGAAAAGAAGGAAGCAAAGAAGAAACGTCTCAATGCGAGTCAAGAGCGGACTTCTTTGCTTTTTCTTCGTTTCTTCTTCGTCTTCTACTTCTGCAAGTCTGCCTTCTCAGGGGCTTCTGTTTCTACGGGCGTCTAGTTATCTTCCATAGCTCTGCATAGCCCTGTATCTACGTAGTCTATACTTCTATCTACGTCTATATCAACTTCTACTTCTATATCAACTTCTACTTCTATATCGTCTACCAACTTTTACTACATCTACATCTACTATGCTTGCTTTTTCCCAGCCTCACAACGGCGGCCTTTTGGTCTCTCTGGCCTCGTGCAGACGTTGACCTATTTCTCTTCATCTACTCATCTAATACATCTTCGTCTCCATCTACTTCTACTTCTGCGGCTTCATCTGCCCATCCCTGCCTATAAGACGAGGATAAACCGATCGTATCAACGCCCCCGCGATCGACTCTAACAAGCTGTTTCTACTCCTTACCCGCTCCTGGTCGTCTTCTCCCTGACCTCTGGAGCTGTCTAGCTGTCTGTCCGTCCGTCTGGCTGTCTAGACTGCCTCTACTGCGGCCGCTTGTCCGTCCTCGAAACGCTCATCGTTACAGGTCAAACGGCCAAGCAGGTCTTCTTTCTACCATCTTCATCGTCTTCTCCTCTGCCTGACCGTCTTCTTCCCTTTGTCTTCTGCTAAAAAGTCTTCTACTGTCTATACGAAGCGCCTTTTCTCCGGCTTCTTCCCTGCGCCGTCTTTCTTTTTTTTTCCCCCTTCTTAGCTGAAGGACTCGCCACTCGTCCTCTTCTCCTACAAGCCATCTCCTTTTAACAACGAGCACAGGAAGCAGCCTGCAGTCGAGGACATCGTTATGAAGGTGAGCCGTCTACCGTCTCTTTACTACGGTCTACGTCTACTAACACCGTCAGGCCATCAGGCGCTCGCTCAAGGGCGAGAAGGAAAAGTCGCAGCACGTCTCTATCACGCCCAAGTCTGCCCTCGCCATCTTGCCGCCCAAGAAGGTCTGTCCTCTTTTCTTTTCTTCTTCTTTTTTTTTTGATATTTGCTTCTTCTTGCTTCATCTTGCTTCATCTTGCTTCTTATCGCCCCCCCCCCCCCCTGGTTCAATGAGTGGGCTTTTTTTCCCTCCTCTAGCATAGGCGCGCCCACTTCAGACCAAACTCGCTAACGAACATACGACCGGCAACAACAGGTCATAAAAGCGCTGTATGACTACCAGCCATCGCCAGATAACAGAGAGGAACTCGCCTTCAGCAAGGGAGACTTCTTCCACGTCATCAGCAGGGAAGACGACCTCAGCTGGTACGAGGCCTGCAACCCGCTCTTCCCCAACGCCCGCGGCCTCGTCCCCGTCGCCTTCTTCGAGGTCATAGGCAAGAACCAGCGAGACAGCGGCGACTCCGTGCATGCGCCGGTAGATCTTCAGCAGCAGCAGCAGCAGCATCACCACCACCAACCCAGGCTAGCTCACGACTCCGGCTTCTCCGACAGCAGCAATAACAACAAGACAGAGGAAAAGGCGTCACACTTCAGGATGTCGTCTCTAGGCAAAGCCGGTGCGGCGGCTATGGTCTACGGCATCGTTATGTACGACTTCAACGCAGAACGGCCGGACGAGCTGGATGCAAAGGCAGGCGAGGCCATCATCGTCATCGCCCAGTCCAACCCGGAGTGGTTCGTCGCGAAGCCCATCGGTCGACTCGGTGGGCCCGGCCTCATCCCCGTCTCGTTTATCGAGATCAGAGACATGTCCACCGGCAAGTCGGCTGCGGACCCTCTCGAGGCCGTCCGCCGCGCTGGCGTGCCCCGTGTCGAGGAGTGGAAGAAGATGACCGCAGAGTACAAGAATTCTTCCATCTCGCTGGGCAAGTTCGAGAACGGGGCCCAGCAGGCCGCCGCCGAGCTCGAGCGCATGAACCTCAATTCTCGCTCCAATGTTAGTTCTCTGTCTACACATACTACTAAATACCTGCGTATATACAGTATACTAACCATATAGGTCCATCAACGAAACCCAAGCAAGGGATACCCACAGCAGCAACATCAACAACAGCAGCACTACCAAGTACCCATACCCGTCCAGGCCTCGATCCCCCGGTACTGCTTCGACAATGACAAGTACTGGTACATAGTCGAAGTTCAGATGGAAGACGGCAGATGGTGGGAGCTTTCTCGGTATTACCACGACTTCTACGACTTCCAGATTGCCCTGCTCTCCAAGTTCGAGGAAGAGGCCGGCAACAGAGGCGGCCAGCGTACTCTCCCCTTCATGCCCGGACCCGTTACCCAGGTCACCAACGCCATCTCAAACAGCCGCCGTCAGAGCCTCGACGAGTACGTAAAGCAGCTCCTCGCCATGCCGCCGCACATCTCGCGCTGCCAACTCGTCCGCCAGCTCTTCGCGCCCAGGCCAGGTGACTTTGAGATCGATCCCACAGTCATGTCAGATGACTACCGCCTCTCTACCGGCTCCCAGCAGTCCTCCGGCCACAACCCGTCGCGAACCGCTTCCCGACAGTCCTCTCAGGGCCAGATGAACGCCGCCAGCCAAGGCTACCACCCTTCCCAACGCCCTACCCACCAACGCAACCAGGGTTCCATCTCCCATCAGCCTCAGCAGCTCCTGCAGCAGCAGCAGCAGCAGCAGCAGCCTCCACCCATGTCTCGCCAGGGAAGCTCGTTCAACAGCAACAGTAACCAGATGCCCTCCCAGAACCCAGGCGCAATAAAGATCAAGGTCTTCTTCCAGGACGACATCATCGTCATCCGTGTGCCAGACGACATCAGTCTACGACAGCTGATCGACAAGCTCAGAGACCGCCTCAAGGTCGACGCCATGGTAGTCCGCTACAAGGACGAGCCCTCAAACTCCTTTGTCGAACTGCTCAACGACGCAGACCTCGAAACCGCCATCCGTCGAAACGCCAAACTCATGCTCTACGTCAGCACTGTGTAGTCTTTGGCCTCGTTCACTCTCGTTCATTCTCTCACTTCTGTTACGTACTGCTATGGTTCTTGCTTTTGCTTCGTCTCCTACGTTTGCATTTTATTATTTATATCCTGGTTTCTCCCTTTATATCATACCCTTTTTCCTACGGCGTTCATCTATATTCTCCCATCTACGGATACACCTTTTCTGTCAGCATATACCTGTCATCTATCGACTCCCCTTGTTTAACGTGAATTCCCCATGGCTCATGCAATGTTTTAGAATCCCCTATGTCTATGTTTTACGTTCTCTCTTATATCCTTTTCCCTATGTCATCTTCTCGCAACCGTTAGGGTCTTCGTTTCGTCTTGCTTTTAATGACCCCATTTTTCAATCTACTTCTTCTAACATCTTTGTATTCTGAAGTATTCGTGGGAGGGGGAAAAGTTTCTCATTGACAGTCATGAATTGCATGTGTATTCTCTATCCGTTCATCATTAGAA